CATAATCACTGCCTTTAAGGAACGTTCCATTCAATTTAGAAGTCTACTTATTCAATCATTCGTTGAGTAGCAGACAGTGTGCTGGATCGTTAGTGACTGCGCCAGGCATGAAATCTATCCTCATGAAGTATACATTCTAGTAGGGGAGTCCGAAAATAAACAATTAGGAAATAGTGATTAGGTCCATTGTAATTATGAATAATATGCACCACTAAATAATTACTGTATTTCGTTGATTCTAAAGTGTAGTCTTTTACAGTTTAAGGATATGTCTTACATTCTATGGTTGCCAGTTAAATTAGAAGGGCTCTTCTAATGATACATAAAATAATGATGCAGCCCGGCCGGTGTGGCTCAGTGGTTGAGCATCGACCTATGAACCAGGAGGTCACGGTTCAATTCCCAGTCAGGGCACATGCCCAAGTTGTGGGCTTGATCGCCAGTCAGGGGCATGCAAGAGGCAGCAATCAGTGATTTCTCTCGTTGAAGTTTCTCTTTCTCTCCCTCTCCCTTCCTCTCTGAAATCAATTTAAAACAGACCTGTGCATTTCAGTTGATGGCATCTTCGATTTTGTGAAGTATGATAAATTCTAAACTGTTAAGTATTATAGGAGTTAAGATATATGTAGATCTATAAGCATCCCACGATTCAACAAGGGCTTCAAGGACAAGGTGAGACTTGAGCCAGGTTGAAGAAAGAGAGGATTTTGAAGAGAGGAAGCACAGGGTCAACTGGAAATGAAGAACCCAAGCAGAAAGGAGAAGCTATGACTGAGAGGCACAGGTCTGCCTGGGATAGGGGAGAGGGAGTGTGAGGAAGCAAAGGGAACTGAGTGGCTAATAACTTGAAATCAGGTTATGAAGGCCTAGAAAGTGGAGCGAATGGTGCAGTTTTTAAAAGGGAGCAACTGAAGATTTCTGAGCAGAAGATAAAAGGTTAGGTCCAACTTCAGCGTGTGCCATGAACTCAGCTACAGGGGCCAGGTGTATATGTCTGTTTTCAGTGTTTGGTCATCATTGTTAAAGGAAGGAGACACACTGCGCTGGTGCTCAAGGAGGTTATGAGCTCATGGCCGAGCCAGGACAAATACAAGAGTACTGCATACATGTGAGCCTGTGGTAGGGATAAAGGAGCCCACCCCCAGCCTCTCCTGCAGACCCAGTGGGAGAGCGCCCTCACCATATGTTATTACTCTCCAACAGTCAGACCGGAAGGGCTGACTGCACTGGACTACAGTGTCTTCCTCCCTTTAAAATCCTACTCTTTCTTCAACCTGGCTCAAATCTCACCTTATCCTTAGAGCCCTTTTGCTCCTGGAATGCTTATAGATCAACATACCCCTGAACTTTTGTTTGTCTGTTTGTTTGTTTTTCATTTATTTTTTAAAAAAAATATTTGTATTGATTTCAGAGAGGAAAGGAGAGGGAGAACGAGATAGAAACATCAATGATGAGAGAGAATCATTGATCAGCTACCCTCAGCATGCCCCCCTACTGGGGATCGAGCCTGCAATTGCCCGCAACCAGGGCAAGTGCCCTTGATAGGAAATGAACCTGGGACCCTTCAGTCCACAGGCTGATGCTCTATTCACTGAGCCAAACCGACTAGGGCTTCGCTGGACTACTGCTGAAACCGGAGTCAGCCCTGTTAGTCCTGGGCTGCTGACCAGCATCCCTTCCTCACTTCAATTATAGCTTCTCCTTCCTGCTTGGGTCCTTGCCTGCTTGGAGACTGCTGCTGCTAAGCCCCAATCCTGACATCTATTTTCCCTGTTAGGTCAGGGTGCTAAGGCTCTAACTTAGAAGCTCGATCTGGGCTCAGATTAAGGAGAGCTTTTCAATAGCTGTGGAATGTAAGTAAAGAATTTATGGATGAAGGCAAGGAGGGAACCAACAACCAGGCCTAGGAAGTATTAATCCAAAGGAGCCTGGCAGAAAGGAGCCAGCCGCAGGAGGAAGGCTGTAATTGGAGCTTACATTGAGAGAAAGTAGGAGCCGAAAGGAGAGAAAGGATGGAGGTGAAAGCAGTAATGACTTCCCAAGGACTTGAATGTGGAGACAGAACTTCTTATAGGGCCTGTGAGTATAGGGAGAATGGGTAAGGTCACTAAACTGGTTCAGACACCCAGCTCTGTCCAGGGCAGGCCCTCAGGCACTATCAGGATTGTTGGTTACTCTGACCACAACCCAGCACAATCCCAGCCTCCTTCCTCACTCCACCCTCACTCATTCATTTACTTAATTAACTAACAAATATTTGAGCCTCCACTAGAATATAAACTCCATGCAGGCAGAAACACTATCTTTTCCCTAATTTTAAGGCCTAAAGCCCAGAATAATTTCTGGTACATAGTAAGCACTAGCTATATATTAGTTGAATGCATGAATCATTGATGAATGTTTGAAAATGTGTTGAGTTCTAAAGTATCTTCTGAATTGTGACAATAACCTTAGAGTACCAAACACATGTTGCCTGCTGATATTCACCAACAATAAAGCTAGAAACTTGAGTAGGCTAGCAGCTATCAGATATTTTCTACATTAAGATCATTTAATTTTTTTCTAAGACAAAAAATAGCATGCGGACTTGAAAAAAGTAAAAATATACTTTAATTAGTCAGGTGTTAGAATATCTGAAATGAAATGATTTATTTTTCCTTTCTTTCTTAAATTTCAAAACTAATTTGTGGCCAACATTATCCATAACCCTAAGCATTTGCCACTGGTTTCAAAAGAATTTACAACAAAGAATGCCTGACAATTGCCAAAATTATACGGCCAACATTGCAGGTAAAAAATGACGGAGTTGGACCACAGAATTTCCTGGACTTGAGTGGAGTCCCAAAAGGAAAATATTCATGCAAAGCTTTGATATTTTACTTTGGAGTGCTCCTTAGACACTAGATCAAATAGCACTCAAACGTTTTCAAGGTGCACAGAAAGTCCACATGTGCCCCAAATCATCTGTGCCTTGACTACAGGATGCTGTGGTCAGTCCGGCTGAAGCTCCATCAGCCCCCTTCACGTTCAGAGTAAACAAATAACTATGCTGGCCCTTGCAGAGAAACCCTGGCAAACCTGAGGGGGCTGTAACTTTGAATTAAAGGAAACCACAAGCCAGAAAACTCCCGACCATAAACATGTTTACATTTTATCTGACTGGGGGATGCAAAAGGAGTTTGAGTGACTTATAGAGCTGTTGCCCATGGTGTGGTTAATGCAACCTAGAGTGTGTGGGGGAAGCGGACGGGGGAAATGTGATCAGAGGATCCAGCCACAGGCAGCTAGAGGCTCAGAAGGTCCAAGACAAACTTGGGCTTGGATGGTGCAGTATTATACCATCTGTTGGGTATTCGAGGCGAGGGAAGGACCCCTAAACAAGTAACAGGTGTCACTCAAAGTGACTAGGGTCTAGAGAAGATCGCCTCAAGTCTGCTTTATGATCACCAAGAGTGTCAATCTGAATATGGGGAATGATTCACAGAATCCTGCTAAAGATTTCTCACTAAAAGTCTTACTGAGCGTCTTAGGGTAGAATGGATTGCACTGAGTAACAAACAGCAAAAACATTACAAGTGTCTGTGAATTGGCAATGACACATTTCAATTCCTAACTCTGGCTTAATTCTTCCAGTGTAATGAACTAATTTATTTATTTTTTATTTTTCTAAAATGTAAAGTAGTTGAGGCAGTAGCAAATATTCCCCTACCCTTTGCTGGGTAATTAACTGGGCATAAATGAGCCAATAGGAAGCCAGCTCCTTGCTTACTAGAGAAGCATGCCCTGCTAAGAGGGGCAAGGCGGGGAGGACCACAGCCCAGGGCTCCTGTGGTCTATGTGCAGACGACTCCCCCAGCTCCATCCCACTCCTTCTGCTCTCCCAGCACCTTGGCAGAGACTGGCTTTGGGACAAGTCACATCATGAGCTCCACTCGCTACTACACCCATCCCCAGGGAAGGGATGCCTGGACCATTAGGTACACTGTCCCAGGGTAACAGGTCAGAGAATGCAGTTTGTAAAGCTAGAGCCACTTTCTTCTTTGTTCATGATGCCTATTACATGGCTTATTTGCTTTTTAAAGTGCTTGATGCTGAGTGTGAAATGCCAAAGGACCATGGGAGTGAATTGTCGAGGAAAGGGAATATTCCTCTGGCTGGTTCCTAGGAGCTAATTTGCAATATGGAGCACTGCTTTGTGTTCCCAGATAATTAGACTCTCCATAGCTAGTCTGGGGTATGGATCTGGGGAATGGGTGTGGGAGGGTGGAGTTGGGGGGCGGTGTGAGCTGGGTGCATGATTTCCAGCATATCATCTGGGATTTGGAGCAGGGCTCAAAGTCTGACACTAAAATGTTAGGCAAGGAAACTGGGCAACACAGGAAGATTAAGCAAAAGGTGCCTGGGATATCCTAGAAAGCAGGAAGACTTAGAGCCACAGATGAGAACTAGAATCCAGGCTATCATTTCCCATTCGTGTAACCTTTGACAAGTGTCATAACTTCTCTAAGGCTCTGTTTCCTCATGTAGGAAGTGAGGATAGTAATAATCTCATACGGATATTGTGAGAATTAAGCACATACACTGAGTGGCCAGATTATTATGACCACCTGACGTTTGTAGGCAAATTAGCTATAAATTTGTGCTGAAGTTGCTAGAGGGCCAGATCATGATAAACGTCTGAATAGCACAACATACCTAAGTATCATTGCTGATCAAGTTCATCCTATCATGTTGATGGTGTATCCCAATGGAGATGGCTTCTTCCAACATGACAATGCGCCATGCCACGGTGCTTGTATTGTGCAGGAGTGGTTTCAAGAACATGAGGGAGACTTTACCTTGCTTAGGTGGCCCTCACAATCACCAGATCTCAATCCAATTGAGCATTTGTGGGACGAAGTTAAAAGAGCCATCAGGCAGCTGTTTCCACAACCATCAGATCTCACAGAACTGGACAGTGCTATTCATCAGGCATGGTGTCAGATTCCTCGCATCACCTTTCAACATCTCGTGGAGTCAATGCCAAGAAGAATCGCCGCAGTATAGAAGGCAAAAGGTGGCCCAACGAAATACTGATGGAGTGGTCATAATAATCTGGCCTCTCAGTGTATATAAAGCACATAAGCTCAATATAAACACTACTAGACTGTAAGTTCCTTCAAAGCAAAGAATGGACCTTAGAAACACAGCAATGGCCACATAGAAAATTGTTTAACAAATAAAAAAACAACAATACAACCAACCTATTCCAGACCTATCCCCAGGTGAGGATGAGGTTGCTAGTCTATACATTCTCATTCCTACTCCTCAAAGTGAAGTTCATGAGCTATTCACATCACTTGGAAACACAGATATCTGATCCCACCTCAGACCTAATGAATCAGAATATCCATGTTGGCCTGATCCCCAGTGGGTTTGTTTGCCCATTGAACTGGGAGACGCACTGCTCACTCAAGGTTGCCTGGAGGATGGCATCTCATGGCTCCAGCTGGGAGGGGCTGAGGAAGGCAGGAGCTGGCAGGCAGGGTCCAAACTGATTCCTTAAACTGTGACCACTGTGTGCCAAGGCTTGGGCAAATGGCCAGGACGCAGAACCTCATCGGGCCAGACAGGGGCAGTCTGCAGATGGCGAGGGTGTGTGAGCAAAGGCTGAGCTTCAGAGCCCCAGCCTGCACTCCAAGGCAATGCCCAGGGGTCCAGGAGGCCAGAAGTCAAGCCCAGGGAACCAAGGTGAGAGAGAAGCTATAACAGGTTATGCTGGTCTAGAGGGCCAGAGTCTAGGGAACTAGGAGGCTGGGAGAAATAGAAAGCAGACGATTCTACCAGTACTTATGGGGCTGCTTATGGGTAAGACAGAGAGTGAGTGCTTATTTTAGAAGTTGCTCCTTGCCCTGGTCTCACCCCCTTCAGCAGGTAGGTGGGTGTGTCTTTAGAGCTGTGTCTGTGGTCAGAGGGGAGCTCAGCATCATGATGTGCTTGCTCCTTCTGAAGGCAGGTGTGAGGCTTGCTGGAAGGTTCCTCTGTCCTGTTGACACAAAGAGACAACTGTCAAAGGTAGAGAAATGAAAATTTCAGGGACTATTTTTTTAAAAATATATTTTATTTATTTTTTACAGAGATGAAGGAAGAGAGATAGAGAGTTAGAAACATCAATGAGAGGAAAACACTGATCAGCTGCCTCCTGCACACCCCCCAGTGGGGATATACCCGCAACCAAGGTACATGCCCCTGACCGGAATCGAACCCGGGACCCCTCAGTCCACAGGCCAACGCTCCATCCACTGAGCCAAACTGGTCAGGGCTTCAGGGACTATTTTTGAAAGTTCTTTGAACAAAGGGACAGATGTCCCAGGATCCTTTGCTCCCACCATAACACTATGTGTGTTCAGAGACCAATGGGCTGCTTCCCGGGAGACAATGAGCTGATCCCCCAGTAACCCAGACAGCACTGTCTCAGGGGAGCAGCACAGAATCCTACTATCTGAGGATGTCAGAAAAGGAGGGGACCTGGTGCCTTCCATCTTTTTTTTTATCCATGGAGCCCTGTCTTCCAACCCTATCTTACTCAGATCCCCAACATTTGCCATGGATATTAGAAAGCTATTCTTATTGAAGCAGAAGTTGGAGCCCTGAGGCATTCTCTTCCACCCCTACTCCCCAACACCTCCTGAGTCCCCTTGGAGGAACCCCCTGGTTCCATGGACCAGTTTGAGAGGCACTGCTGGGCACCAGTCCTATCATTATACAAATGAGGGACAGGAGCCCATACAGAAAGGTCTCCCATGACCTGGCATTGGCTCACCTTACTACCCACGTGACTCCCTGTACTTTGGTCATGTGGACTTTTTTCTTGCCATGCCTCGGAACATGCCATGCCCTCCCTCTCTGCTGGGCCTTTCTATGTGCTATTCTTTCTACCTGAAATGCTCCCTGCTCCCTTCCATACCTCCCCACCCCACTCCTGCCTGTCTGACTCCTGCGTAACCTGTGGATCTCAGCAGAGGCCTGTCTGTTCTATTCACCATCCCAGCAGTGTCTGGTCAATGGTAAGTGCTGTGTCTCTCTTTTCTGAATGAGTGAATGATCACCTTACAGGAGCCTCACTCCAGAATTGCCTACCAGCTCTGAGTTTAGGAATGGGGACAGCCTTTCCACCCAGATATGGGGTGGTCCTGGGCAAAACCTTGTCCAATCTATGTCAATTCCTTCCCAGAGAGTTCTGATTGGTACACAACAGTGTTAGGTTGAAGATCCAGGTAATGGGAAACATGTGTTTAGGAAATTGGAAGTGAGCAAAATGTGTTTAGAAAATGTTGGTAGGTTCAGGTGACAGCTGCCTTCAAAGGGGCCACGGACAGTTATTGGGAGATATCTGTTTCCTATGAGGACAATTTCCAGATATCACCCTGACCTCTGCCACCATGAGAGTCTTAAATCTGACTGTCTTCTAACACCAGGAACCATATTTGACCTTCCTGGTAGATAATCTTCCCAAAGTTCCACAAGGAATTATTCACAACTTCCCTAATGCCAAAATATGGCCATAAAAATAGTGTTTGGTGTTTTTCAGGCTTCTCTGTAGTGGATGAATGAATGTCTCCAAGAACACCCATCTGACAGAGGGGAAAAAAGCTAAGAAAATATGAATTAATGTTGCACTAAAATTTTCCTGAGCATGTGCAGCTACAAATACTAAATCAACATATTCCAACATTGTTTCTCCCCATTAGTATGTGGGCAGCAAGTTGTTAGGAAGAACTAATGATCTCTTTAGAAAGTGTCACCCCAAACATTACTTGTACAAGCTTTGTAGAATGACTCAACAGGTTAACTCAAGTCTCTGCTTAAGCATCCTTTTATTTAAAGTCACCCTTTCCTGGAAAACAGGTTTTTAATTAAAAAGGAAAATCATATTTGCATCCCTCGAAGATAAAGGAGATAAATATGGACTATTTAATTATGTGCATTCTCGGTCTGTTTCTGCTTATCTTTGGCACCAGTTACAAAGCAAACCTTCCTGAAAGGATAATTCCTCCCACAATAATCCTTTCCAATTACACAGGCCTTAGCAATTTATAAAGTTTGTTCACATATATGATTTCATTTCATCCCCTCCACAGCCCTGTGAGACAGGTATAACAAGAGTTCGAGTTAACTTCATTTTGTAAATGAGATGCTGAGGCCATGGCTACATGACTTGCTCACGGTCATGCTGCTAGCTGGGACTCAGCCAGACCTTGAATCCAAGGTTTGTGATCCCACGTCTGTGTCAGAGTTATCGCCATCAGGTAAACTATGGTTAGGCCGGCCTGATGTCTTAGATCATATTGCAGAGGCACCTGGAAGGTTTTCCAGTGCAGTGGTTGTCAAACTACGCCTCTTCGAACCCTAAGGCTCCATCATGGTGCTTAGGAAGCCATGACGGGGAAGGTGAGAAGACAGGTACTGGGCTCCTATCCCAACCAAGGAGCTCTGTTTCTATGTCTCATCTACTGGTGTTTCAAGTAAAAAATTTTTTGAAGAAAGTAGTCCACTGTTTCAAAAAAAAAAAAAAAGGTTTGAAACTCTAGTAAACTAGTTCGAACTTCTTATTTTACAGATTGGAAAAGACCCATAAAGATCCTATTAATTTGTCCAAGTTCACATCCAAGTAAAAGCAGAACCCCGACAGGTCTCTCCACGCCCAGTTAAGCCTCTCATTACCGTGTTGTGTCTATATCCACATTCCCAAACGTTAGTGTGTAGCAAGGTCACCTGGAGGGCTTGTCACGGACCTCTAGGTCCTGCCTCACAAGGCTCTGAGTCAATAGGGCTGGAGTGGGTCTGAGAAGCTTCCATGTGAGGCTGAGGCTGCTGAACCACTTGTCCATAGGACACAAAACAACCGATAAGTCTACTGAACTGACCAACTCATTGTACACTTTATCAATTTTATTTCATTCTGGGAAAATGGCTAAAGGAAATTCCTCCTTCAGAACTTCTAAACACATTGCCTAGGCACCTCGCACTGATATCCTATCACACCCAAGACCCTAAACCCTCGTGTAGGAGGTGACAGTGATGCCCCAGCCCATGTCTCCTCATCCAACCGAGTTTATCTGCACCTGCAGTGGGCAGTTTCCACACACGCAGCCAGCTCATGATTCTTTGGTGTTTCTGTCTGAGGACATTTTTTTTAACTAACAAGAGCTTGCTCAGCCCACAAGTGTTGTGTGTGTGTGTATAACTAATGCCCCCACTTTCCAGGGCATCCTTTAAACAACGAGGACATGAATCTGTGGATAGATATGCCAGCATCCCTATCCCTCAGTGGGATGTTTGAAACTTCCTCAAATGACTCCCCAGAGGGGCCCTCATGAGACTGTGCCCCGCTTTCCAAGAGCAGTAACTCACTCATTAATGCCCCCTGTATTGGCATTTCTCCCTTTCTATCCACTCCCTCTCCTTCCTCATTTGTTTTTTCCTGGGATCACTTCCTAAGTAAACTATCTGCATCCCAAGTTCTCATCTCAGGGTCTGCTTTTGGGGGAACACAGACTAAGACACTGTCTCAAAGTTCTTCCCAAGGTCACAGGAGCTTCACCTTCCAGCTCTGTTCACCTGTCAGTTCCAAGCCCTGGGGTTGCATTCACAGGCCTTTGGGCTGTACTCGACGGGCGTTGATAAACAAATAGTACAATTGATAGTTGCTGTGTTAACAGTAGCAGAAATACGGGCTGTTGAATCATCTGCAAATTCTCATGACTCATAAATTGTATACTTAGCAGTCGCTTTTTTCGAAGGAGGCCCAAGCCCCTCAGTCAGATCTGTGAAGAATGCCAGCTTTTTAAAAGCCTGGCATTATGTGTATTTTTCAGGGCATCACTATGAAAAGCACCTGTCGGTTCTGAGATGGAGATAAATTTCCTTTTGTCCTGGTAAAGCAAGATTAACCTTCAGCAAATATTTACATTTGAGGAGTGGAGTTTCAGCAGTGGTGGCATCAGCATTTGTCAAGCTGCAGTGTAAACTGCAATGAAAAAAAAAAAAGAAAAAATACGTGAGAAACAATTAAATTCTTCTCACATTGAAGCTAAGTAATAGAGACAGATCCTATAAAAAAATAATTAAATCGATCAAACTTTATCCTAAATAATATAGCTATTTCATGTGTTTCATCCCACTCATTGTTTGTGTATTAATTTTTGCCTTAATATAAAAAACAGTTTTATTGAAGGATAATTAATATATAATAAGTTGCACACATTTAAAGTACACAACTTAATAAATTTTGACATATGTATGCAACCATGAAACCATAGTGCTGACTTATTTTTAAAAGCAATACTATTGAGTTTTCAGTCTATATTATTTCAATATCCAATTTCAGGAGTGATCCATTAATTATCATATTTATGCTATGATCCCTTATTGGCTAAAAGCTCTTTACATTACTCCCTATTCAAAATGGCTAAATGAGTATGCTCAAAATAATTGGTTGGCCCAGTTCTTCAAGAACTTATGAGGCATGTCTGGCAAATAATAATAAAAGTTACCACTTTGAGTATCTATCATAGCCACGGTCTAATTTGCAGTTCTTTATATCATTTGTAATGTTCACAACAATCTTATGAGGTACATATTGTTACTCCTATATCACAAGTGAGCAACTAAGACTTCGAGATATCAAATGACGTGAAGACATTTACATAGCTAGAACATGACAGAGCTGGTAACTAGATTATTCCATATGGTAATATTTTCCAAACTGCTAATTTATTCATGTTTTATTTATTCAACGAATATACACCAGGTCCAGGTTAAATGTTAGAGATACAGCAGTGAAGGCGGCTGACATGGTTCCAACATCATTAGGTTTACAGCCATCACTAAGTGTGCAATCACACAAATAATTGATTTCAATTGTTATGAATGCTTTCAGGAGAAGTACAAGGTATTGGAACAGCATGCATTTGGGGCCTGATCTAGTTTCAGGGCAGGCAGCTAGAGGAGGCATCCATGAGGAAGTAATGGTTAAACTGAGACCTGACAAATAAGTGGGTCTATAGTTTTAAGTAGGAGAAGTGACATGATCAGATTTGCAAAACTGATTATGGGAAAGTCACTGACATAAGAGGGAACATGGCGGGGGTGTGGGGGGTGGGTGGGTGGGGGGGGCGCGGGAGGCGGTGGAGTGTTCCTCAAGAATTGCAAACTAAGAACTCCGTCCTCAAGCAGGTTTGGAACCAGTATCCACATGCTTACGTAGCACAAGAAAACTTCACACCTAAATATGATTCAAAGTGGTTCTAAGTTGGTTAATGGTCTCAGGCATTTAGTAAATGCAAACTTCCTGGAGAGAAACCGTTAAACCGAGTTTCAAAAAGTTCTCACATACGAGGTTTCAATAACCATGAACTCACAATCAGAAAACCAGGAAACAAGCTAACATGAGAAAGCAGTAGCCAAAACAGCAAAATACAGAATCAGAACCAAAAAGACTGCAGATATTAGAATTATCAGCTTCAAAATATAAAATAAGTTTGCTATGTTTAAAGAAATAAGAATATCAAAAGTATGATTAAGGGACAAGATATTTAAAAATTCATCAGATAGATTTGAAAAAGAACCAGGTAGAATTACTAAAAATGATACATGTAGATAAATAGATTTCTCTTAAATATGTTGCACACATTTTCTTACAGGTATGTTGCTCCTGTTTAACCTGATCTGTGGTAGTTCTTGTCACTCCTACATTTTTTGCTCTTTCAAGGTCAAATCTGCCCATCAACTTTTGATGGCAAACACACAATACAATATACAAATGATGTATTATAGAAATGTACACTTGAAACCTATATAATTTTATTAACCAATGTTACCCCAATAGATTTGATTTTTTAAAATCTGTCCATCATTTGCCTTTATGGCTTTTGCAGTTTGTGTCTTGCTTAGGAAGGCTTTTCCCATTCTGAGGTTATTTTAAGAGCCCTCATTTTTAATGTTTATTAATTCACTTAAATCTGGATTTTGAGCCACTTGGCCTGGAGGTCAAACCCTCCCTGGAATTAGCTACAACAATCAAGATTTAACTATAAGACTGTGAACAAAGACCACTAGGGGGTGCACCAAGGAAGCATAACAAAATGCGGAGACAAAGAAACAAGACAAAATTGTCAATGGAAGATATAGAGTTCAGAACCACACTTTTAAGGTCTCTCAAGAACTGTTTAGAAGCCGTCGATAAACTTAATGAGATCTACAAGAAAACTAATAAGACCCTCGATCTTATATTGGGGAACCAACTAGAAATTAAGCATACACGGACTGAAATAACGAATATTATACAGACTCCCGACAGCAGACCAGAGGAGCGCAAGAATCAAGTCAATGATTTGAAATGCGAGGAAGCAAAAAACACCCAACCGGAAAAGCAAAATGAAAAAAGAATCCAAAAATGCGAGGATAGTGTAAGGAGCCTCTGGGACAGCTTCAAGCGTACCAACATCAGAATTATAGGGGTGCCAGAAGATGAGAGAGAGCAAGATATTGAAAACCTATTTGAAGAAATAATGACAGAAAACTTCCCCCACCTGGTGAAAGAAATGGACTTACAGATCCAAGAAGCGCGGAGAACCCCAAACAAAAGGAATCCAAAGAGGACCACACCAAGACACATCATAATTAAAATGCCAAGAGCAAAAGATAAAGAGAGAATCTTAAAACAGCAAGAGAAAGAAACTCAGTTACCTACAAGGGAATACCCATACGACTGTCAGCTGATTTCTCAACAGAAACTTTGCAGGCCAGAAGGGAGTGGCAAGAAATATTCAAAGTGATGAATACCAAGAACCTACAACCAAGATTACTTTATCCAGCAAAGCTATCATTCAGAATTGAAGGTCAGATAAAGAGCTTCACAGATAAGGAAAAGCTAAAGGAGTTCATCACCACCAAACCAGGATTATATGAAATGCTGAAAGGTATCCTTTAAGAAGGGGAAGAGGAAGAAAAAGGTAAAGATACAAATTATGAACAACAAATATGCATCTATCAACAAGTGAATCTAAGAATCAAGTGAATAAATAATCTGATGAACAGAATGAACTGTTGATTATAATAGAATCAGGGACATAGAAAGGGAATGGACTGACTATTCCTGGGGGGGAAAGGGGTGTGGGAGATGCGGGAAGAGACTGGACAAAAATCGTGCACCTATGGATGAGGACAGTGGGTGGGGAGTGAGGGCGGAGGGTGGGGCGGGAACTGGGAGGAGGGGAGTTATGGGGGGAAAAAAAAGAGGAACAAATGTAATAATCTGAACAATAAAGATTTAATTAAAAAAAAAAAAAAAAAAAAAAAATCTGGATTTTATATTAAGACTAGAGGCCCAGTGCATGAAATTCATGCACAGGAGTGGGGGGGGGGGCGTCCCTCAGCCCGGCCTGCACCCTCTCTAATACAGGACCCCTTGGGGGATGTCTGACTGCCAGTTTAGGCCCGATCCTGCAGGGCATCCCTCTCGCAATCCAGAACCACTGGCTCCTAACCACTCACCTGCCTGTCGGCCTGATCCCCCTAACTGCTCTCCCCTGCCAGCCTGATCCCCCTAACTGCCTCTGCCTTGGCCCTGCCACCATGTTTTGTCTGGAAGGATGTCCGGTCTAATTAGCATATTACCCTTTTATTAGTATAGATAGGAGTCTAAAGTTATTTTTAATAGATTGTATCTGGAAATTCCAACACTGTTTACTAAATAAACCTTTCTTTCTCAATAATTCAAAATATCCGTTTTCACAGGAACTAATTTCTTGTTATAGTAGATGAGAATGTAATTGTCTTACAACTTATGGCCTCACTTACTCCCTCCTCTCTCTTTCCAATTTTTAATTAAATCATTAGTCTCTATATAAAGAAAAAGCATGCAAATATGCACTGTTGAGGCAGGTAGTTACTATGACTATTATTCCTTTCTTGAACAACTTTTTTTTATTTTTCCAGGAGTTAATAATTACCTTGTTATTTTTAGTTGCACAGTTCCCTATGAATCTATTCAAATGCTTGATTGAACTTGTCAAGCACCTATTATGATTTTTTTCTAAATGCCAAAGTTTATCAGTTAATCTTTCTGCTCCATGTTTCCCTGGCAATCTGCCTCTGAGAGCTCTAGTTCTCCTGCTCCGGTAGGGGCTCATTACCCTCCAGGCCTACTGCACAGCATCACACTGGCATTTTCTTTACTACTTTCTTGCGCTGGATCCCGCAAATGGCAGTCTGTAGAGAGTTTTTCTTTCACCTCCTGCCTGGGAGGCAGGTACCTGATGGCTATTTGGAAGTATGATTTTCTGGGAGTAGATCTAGTGACTCACCATGGGACGTGTCTCACAGACCCAACGTTTCTGTCTGCCATGTTGGTCCAGGCCTCTTTCCTCCTCTCTTGTCTCCCAGCCTCCAGTCTCCAGTCTCTCCCCATTCCATTCCTGCCTAAAACAATCACGGTTCCATTCATCCTTCTGAAGTCTTGCTTTTGGCACGCTAGGAAGCCTTCCGCCACTTCCAGGCCCTCAGGATAAAGTCTGAGCTCCATATCGCCACCTCCACCCCCGGGTGCTCCACCTGTTTGTGCTCATGCTGATGGGCAGCTGGGCGCCATCTCAAGAGAGTCATGGGCCTGAGCCCGGTGGTGCTTGTGCAGGGTGGGCTGTGTGTGTCTTTTCTGCCCAGACCTTAGCACCATGTGTGGAGTGGCCTGGGTCTAGAAAAAAATAGTGTTAGGACTGCATTTGTTGCAAAGGGATAAAAATGTACATCCTAAGCTTTATATAGAAAGCCTAGCAACTCGGCCCTTAATTGGTTTGTGAAGGAATATCAGTGATTGCCCTGGCTGGAGTGGCTCAGTTGATTGAGTGTCATCCCATGGACTGAAAGGTCACTGGTTCTATTCCCAATTAGGGCACATGCCCAGGTTGTGGGTTCAACCCCTGATGGGGGGGTGTGCATGCGTGACAATCAATATTTCTCTTCACATCA